TTTTTTTTTTTAAACTCCAGTTCTTTGAACTACAAGTAGTTATTATCTACTATAATTTTTTCATTAACAACATTTTGACCTCCGGGTACTGTTACTGTTGCAACTGTAAGTGAAGAAGCATTTAGGTTGCAGAGGAGCAAGACAGGCTAATCTCTTTCTGAACAGAAGCTTCTTGACCAATGTGCGGAGGTTGCGTCGACAAAATGATTCAGTGGTTAAAGGGAGACCTGAATGTTGGTCCTTAACACTGTTTTTGTCATTAAAAGAACTGTTTTCAATAGCCATCTTTTTGCATTATATGTCCATCTGGCAGATTTATTCTCTCCTGATTAGACTTCTAAATTTCTGATTAATTTTTGATTGTTCTTAGCCATTATTAATTTCTTCTGGAATTTGTCTATATTGCGTCTTTCTTATCTTTCTTCAGATTCATACTATTTTGAATAGTATTCTAACAAACTCAATGGCATGATTGTCCTTGAAATAGTTCTTGCCAATTTGCTAATTATAATTATTTGGGTAATAACGAACTGCTCATTAAAAGTAGCTGCTTATACTCCTCGTCATATTGAATGACTGTACCTAAGTTTTTTTTGGATGCGTGACATAAATGAGCAGTTATGTAGTAACCAAAAAAAAGATGTCAGTTTTTGGAAAAATATGACAAACTTCTAGTTTTTTTTGCGATATAGTTAACCTACAGTTAACCCACCATTCCAATGTTGAGTAAACTATATCAAGAAAAGCCCCAGAAAAACCAAACAATTCTAAACACTTTCCTATCAGGTTGTGTAATTAGAAGAGTCAGAAACCAAAGCCGATGGAATATCGCTCGTACTATATTCACACCAGTAACTTCAGAAGCCTCGTTATAAAAACTAGGTTAGAGAATTGCATGCAATCAAGCAATGTAGTGCGAAGACAGGACAAACTGAACTCACTACAAAACCGCATTTGGGTTGGGCTTTCCAGGACCTAAGCAGTACGAAACTACAGGTAATGGCGTTTACGTCCTACTAGTTGCAGATTTTATCAACAGATTGCACCCAATATACAATAAAAAACAATAGTGATCAATCTGAAAATTTGAGTAACAGTTTGAGCAGCGCCGATAGGTTATATCCTCCTAAGAAGAAGCTAATTTAGTTTTCAACATAAGCTTAATAAGTGGACAAACAGAACATCGAAAATCTTAGACTGAACGCACAACAAACGATAAATGTGCAGCAGTACAGCCTGAAACCTCGTCAGCAAAGTTTTTACACATTCCTTGATGAAATCTAAACCCGCAC